CCCGTTGGTTGGTTAAACACGCGGCCCTTGAACATATTTTCGGAAGTTTGACTCACCACAGCCTAAGTTGTTTCACCTTTTGATTGCTGTCTTGCTTCGGATTGTCGAACCTCCCAAATTTCACGCGAAAGTTACTTTTGAGGCCAATTCACTTCTTCGTAAATGGCGTATCTTTGACACTCATTTAACAAGTTTCTTGTTATTGCGGGTGTACAGTACCCTGAGATTGGCCTCGGAATATCTGCAAACCGAAGAATTAGATTATCTTAGTGCCTGGAATATGGTAGAAAAAGCGAACTAGGTTTTAAGACATCTGGACTTTGAAAACATCATGAAAACAACAAGAAATTTCATTGAGATAGCGAATCAAATGTTCGATGATGATGAGGAAACTGATTTTGCAATAGAAGGGGAATTCAGGAAGATGAGACCATGAAGAAAGAGACGAATGCCTGGTAAACACCAGAGGGAGGATTCCCCGGATGAAAGAATTGATGATCCAGTGGATCGCTACAGGGTGGAAGTGTTTCGTCGAGTGATCGACCAAATTACGACAAGTATTGTTGAGCGTTTTTCTAACAACCGTGAACTTGTAACTAACACAGCATGTTTTGATCCACGTCGTTTCCAAGAACTCAAAGAAGATGGATTGCCACCAGAAGCGCTGAAAAACATATGCAATCATCTTGGTATAGACAAGCAGGAACTGAGCAATGAATTGCAGGCTTTCATCCTAAACTTCGACAGCCTTTCGAAAACTCTGAATGAAGAGTTTGCAACAACCAGACATCTAGAATCAGAACAGATACTTCAAACTCACTTTGATGTAATTTCAGGTTCACGTTGCACTTCTGGAAAATCATGTAGAAAGTGCCTACTTTGCTGTTTCCGTATCCTATTTAAGTATTCTTTGCACGCATCTGCATACTCGAATTTGTTCTTAGCTTACAAATATCTTTTGACCCTGTCGTTCATACAAGTCAGTGGAGAACGCGCATTCAGTAAGTTGAAAATTATTGAAACTCGATTACGCTCTTCGCTATCAAATGAGCTACTTGAACCTTTTATGCTGATGAGCATCGAAAAAGATTTACTTTCTGAAATTTCTGTAGATGATATTATTCCTTTTTTTGTGAACAAATCGAAACAGTTTTCTAGATTGCTTGTTGTCTAGGTGCTTTGTAAATTACTGGATTTTGACTGTTTTAGTGATATATACACACACACATTAAAAAATGCACACGTTCCAATCTTAGTTATACTTTGAAAACAATTTCAAATTGTGCTTTGTAAATTACTCGGATTGGTTGTTCTATGATTGAGATTTTCATTTTTATTATAAGAATATTAAAATTTTCTAGTATTTGTATTATGCACGTATTAACATAAATAAATACAACAATATTGAATAGATATAACATTTTATTTGCTTAAAACCTTTACTTTTATTTGATTCCTTTGACTACGTTTTGGGATTAAGTGGGCCCTTTTACAAGTTTTCCCGGTAGAAATTTTAGACCCAGTCCGCCACTGTACAGCGCCATCTTCATCCATTCAACTATCTAATCCAGAAACAAAAACCGCAAGGTACAAAGTGAGAAATGTAAAATAAACTACCAAGCAAAATATTTAGGGTTTCGAATACAACGAATATTTACTTGTTAGCTTGTTTGTTGATTTTCGCGCAGAGCTACTCGGAGGCTATCTGCACTAGTCCTCCTTTAGGAATGATAGACTAGAGGAACGGAAACTGGTCATAATCAGCTACCACCAACTATTGTCCTACTCTTGTTAAAGCCAAGAGTGGGATTTGACCATCACCCTTGTAACGCACACACGACTCCAAAGTGAGGAGCGCGATATTTGGTTTTGTGGTAATGGTTCATGAACAACTGAACCTCAGATCCGCAGTCCGGCACATTAACCACTGGGTGCTCAGCCACATAATAAACAAACATAGTAACCTTGTACGTTATGACTGAATACACACCACCCCCCACCAAAAAGAAAACTAGCTGACGTATTGTTTTTAGAGGAATTTTGGACAAATATCTGTTCACTGGTCAATTCTTTAATGAACATCAGCTTGCCGTTCACCTGATCAAATGATCATGAAGTTACTGGGTTAAGGAGTCTGATATGATTTCAGGCGGTTCTTGGATTCGAATGGTAGTTGAACGTATGTTAGTTAACAAGTAAAGTGTGTATATTTCTTCCTTACGGTTCAGAAAAAAATGTTGACATTCTTGAACGTGATAAAATTTAACCAAGAAGACACACAAATTTTGTCGTTTGAAACTACTTGGACAGTTCTATCTGGAGTGTAGGAGTGGGCGGGTGTTTCTGTAGGGTGAGCATAGACCTATTCTAACCAAACCAGATTGTAAGAAAGACCCATTCTAACCAAAGTAGTCCATAAGGAAGACCTATTCTAACTAAAGTAGTTCGTATGGAAGACCCATTCTAACCAAAGTAGTCCGTAAGGAAGACCCATTCTAACCAAAGTAGTTCGTAAGCAAGACCCATTCTAACCAAAGTAGTGCGTAAGGAAGACCCATTCTAACCAAAATAGTGCGTAAGGAAGACCCATTCTAACCAAAGTAGTCCGTAGGAAGACCCATTCTAACTAAAGTAGTCCGTAAGGAAGACCCATTCTAACCAAAGTAGTCCGTAGGAAGACCCATTCTAACTAAAGTAGTCCGTAAGGAAAAACCCATTCTAAACTAAGTAGTCCATGTATCCCTGTAGAATTAAATAAAACAAAGAATTTAGAAAACATAAAATGATATACATTACAGTTTATAGCTCTAACGATAAAAAGAACGTTTGGATTTGGAGTTTTCAAACTGAATACCACCTTATGCCCACTCGTATGTTTTGGTTTTTCTTAATGTCGTTTATGGTTACTTCTAGAGATTAATTTACATCTATTTAATTTATTTTTCCTAATGTTTTAAAAGTTGGCTTTTCCGGCTTTTTGAGTTTAATTTTGAACACTCCTCAGCATAACTAATTCTAATTTTGAACTGGTAGACTAGAGAGAAGACAACCTGTCAACATGTGCACTTTCCGCCAACTCGTGGGCTACTCCTGTTAGATTGAATAGTGGAATTTGACTGTCACTCTTATATCTCACCCACGACCCCAAAGTGCGGATCATGTTTTTTGAGCCCACGAGTCTCGAACTATAATCCTCAGATTCATAGTCCCGGCATGCTAATCACTAGGCCATATCTGACCCATGTAAAAACTGTATAAAATCATCTGTATTATGGTTTTATTACAATAAAATATTTACACGTTTATGACAGAAAACTCGAGAGGATGTAACGATTTTATTACCAAAATAGTAATGATAACAACATTTAAAAAACTTTAGTTCATAAAGAATCAATATCAGCTTATTGACAAACAATATTAGAAGAATAGATCATCTCCAGGGGACGCTGATTAATTTCACTTTGAAGATCTCACATACGGTATCGATCATACCAGCGTATCATTCGATAGCTTCTGTTTGCTTACACGGGATATACTTTAAAACATAACATTTCAGAATATAGATATTACTGTACAGAATGTTTATCATATTGCATATTCTCAATACGGATATATCAGGGATTGTTCCTATATGAAAAATAAAAATGATATCCTTAAATGACACTCCAAAGTGAGAGCAGGAAGAAAATGTCACCAATAAGCCATAGCGACCTAATTGATATATATATATAAATAGTCCAATAATCACAACGTCTTTGTTTGCCATAACAACACAATCCTGTTTATTAAATAAATGAGAACACCGATAATCATAACGTCTTTGGTTGCCATGACAACACATCATGCTTATTAGATAAATAATAGCACCAGTAACCACAACGTCTTTCATTGCATGATAACCGGATTATTATATATATAACTACACTAACAATCACAATGCCTTCAATTACCATGACAACCTGATTATTATATATATAACTACACTAACAATCACAATGCCTTCAATTACCATGACAACCTGATTATTAGATATATAACTACAACGTTAAACACAACTTTCTCAATTACTACGACGACACGATCAATAGACAGATAAGCACAGTTCAGGAGTCTATCTTTCTCTTAAGGATAAGCCGAACTTAATTTATTATAAAGAGGATTTTGGATAACTTCACCAAAATAAGGTGATTCCAAAGTTCTTCGAAACTTTGTTTCTCTCTGGGATGACTTGTTTTGACTATCCATGTCATTAAACATGGTAAAAACAGTGGACAAAGAGTCAGCGTAAGACAGTGGTTCGTGAATATTCTCCTTATGTTTGCGTATGCTATACAGTTGGGGGCCAAAAATATCACCCAAAATAACCGTAGCCGTGGATATTTGATTCACGCATGTCGCAAAATCTCGATATGCATCTTCCGGTAAGAGTACAAAAGCCACGACCCAGACAAAGAACATAGTTAAAGAAAGTAAGCTTGTAACTGTAACACAGTATACCCTTCCTGGTAAGAGTACAAAAGCCACGACCCAGACAAAGAACATAGTTAAAGAAAGTAAGCTTGTAACTGTAACACAGTACCCTTCCCGGTAACAGGCCCTTGGACTTGGAGGCAGTATCAACCAGGTCAACCAGATTTTGACACTGCTATATGTAGTAGGGGCACAAGTGGCTCTTGAAGTCCAGTGGTGGATTCTTCATCCGCCAAGAGTCGAGTTTGATCCCAGAGAGATTCTAGAATGTTCTATTTGAAAAAGTGACTTTCTGGTTTGTCAAACTTACATAATGTTCCTCCTATTGGTGGCTGTGCTTATGACCTTCTTCGTACGTAACTGTTACCGGGAAGGGTACTGTGTTACAGTTACAAGCTTACTTTCTTTAACTATGTTCTTTGTCTGGGTCGTGGCTTTTGTACTCTTACCAGGAAGGGTACTGTGTTACAGTTACAAGCTTACTTTCTTTAACTATGTTCTTTGTCTGGGTCGTGGCTTTTGTACTCCTGGGAACGAAGAGTCATGCCACGAAGGAGATGACACCCATAGTTGAAGGCGTAGGCTACATTGTTAACTACCTTACGCGTGGTACAGGTTGTAAATGAAGGCTGGAAAGTAAACAACAAAGCTCCTAAATACATTGTTATTAGAGCTATAAGTTGAAATATGGAAATTACGACAGTATTCTTCTTTACCGTCTTGTCACAAATCTTCACCAGAAGAAACACTAAGACATATAGAGTGAACTAGAATACCAGTTCCAGAGAGTGCAACACAGACGGAACACCAAGTTTTAGTGTTCCACGCGCCAAAGCTGACGTTTTTCACGTTAACTGCCATCACATTTTCTAATCTTTTTTGGCTGGAACTTTGGAGATTACAAAGTTTGTGCTCGTAGTTCGTATCGATAGTGGAAAGAGGTACATGATGGTCAGATGCAGTTGTTCGCGGTGGAAGTAGTACGTTCTTACGAGTGATCAAGCCCACCTTGCTACTGTAGCGTCCAACCTAGACGAAAAATAAGATTAAGTGAGCTACAGTATAGAAGAAAACACTGGTTAATTGTCATAATCAGATATATATACTCAAAACACACCCACCCACATGTGTTATGATATAAAAGACTGTTTATGTACGTTTATTAATTAATATATTTTGTGAGTGAATATTTCATTGTTGTTTAATTTTTTCATAACAAGAGAATTAAAAGCGATTATTTTAAATTAAACATTATGACAAGTTTAGTTGCATAGCTCGGTAAGAATCGTACGTCGTGTTTATAATTCACTGATATTGAGGCTACCGAACGTCGCGTAACATTTATTGATCTCGAGAATATAGACATTTCTAGAGACAAGCAGACGATTAAGTGTTAAATATATAAGTAGCGTGAGACAAGCAGGAACAGAGCAGACGAGAAATTAAAGTCAAAGGAAGTAGAGTTTCGGTCAGAGAAAGGTTAGAAAACGTAAAGTTATTTGTTGTACCAGTGAATAGCCTAACGATTGATAGGTTAAAATGAGATTAACAGTTTTCTGACATTTTAGGAGAATAATTTGTCTCGTTAAAGGGAGTTCTAAAACAAATGAACTTTGTGGACATTGAAAAAAAGCAGACAATTATTCGTAAGTAGTTCTATAAGCAAAAAGCTAACGTTTATTAGAAGTTCAGGATACAACTACGGTAACTCATGAGGCAGCTTAAGTGAATTATACACCGATACTGTTGTAATAAAAAGAAAAGAGAGAGAAGAAAATGAATAAGTGAATCATACACTGATAGTGTTTAAGATAAAAATAGAGAAAATAGTTTGGCTTGTCAACTGAATTCTAAAGCAATTAAACTAGCCTAAGTGGATATTTGACAACAAGAGACCTGTATAGTACTTTAGACACAACTATGACATACATAGTATAAAGAATTTTTAGACACACGTTTAACTTGTTTTGAATATATTATTTTGAAACAAGCGGAGTGCGTGCTGCTCATTTATCGTCGAATTTATCGTCAAAAAGTCACAGACACCTACTGTAGAAGAACCCTAAGCCAAACAACAACAACATAGTATATATTTACTTACTATATATAATAATAGAAAGTAAGTTCCTGACAACATGCATATGTCCAAGCCTAACGTACGTTTTATAGTAACAAATTGTTAGATTAAACATTTCACTCGTCGTGAAAAAAAGGAACGTTGGAAATTATCATAAACGTTCTGTTTGTTGTTATTTTCTTTCAGCGCAAAGCTATACAGTGAGTTATCTGTTCTATGCTCTCCCTCCCTCCCCTGGAATCGAACCCCGGATTTTAGTATTGTAAGTCGGTACATTTACCGTTGACCCACCAGGAGACAAACGCTCTGTTATAGAACAAAATCTACACCAAAATAATTGGAGGAGCGGTAACAGAGTGAACTTTTCATAAGCTTAGAAAGGCTTAAGTGAAGTTTATTTCTTACTTGTTCTATCCTGATTCCTATATTCAAAGAGCAATTCAACACGGCAGAAAAGACAAGATAGAAAAGTTAAGTATGAAAACCACGTGGGCAAAGAAAAAATTAGTTTAGCCAAATAATATTCTTTGAAATTCAAAAAACGAATTTTGTTTACCTAATAGTTAGGTAAACAAATATTTTTTTATCTTAATTATTCTACTGTAATATATCTATAATCACTGCTCTGTTATAGTTACAAAGTTATGGATAACTTATATCCAGGAGTTACAGATCAATCGATATCTTGCAAAATTGTAAAGTGTTACAGATTGAACAACTTGAACATAGTTAAAAGTTACTGATTGACCGAAACGTTGTAGGTAGACGTTGTAGACAGGTGTTGATGCCTTCTTTTAATGTTATATATTACAAAGTGATAAATGTCTCGTACTTGGTCAGGACTTACAGAGTGATTGGTGTGTTGTATATAGTCAGGAGATGTAGAGTGATTGTTGTGTTGTATATAGTCAGGAGATGTAGAGTGATTGTTGTGTTGTATATAGTCAGGAGATGTCTTCTGATTGGTGTGTTGTATATTGTCAGGAGATGTAGAGTGATTGGTGTGTTGTATATAGTCAGGAGATGTCTTCTGATTGGTGTGTTGTATATAGTCAGGAGATGTAGAGTGATTGATGTGTTGTTTATAGTCAGGAGACGCCGTCTGATTGGTGTGTTGTGTGTGTGTTGTCAAGAGATGCCGTCTGATTAGTGTGTTGTATGTGGTCAGCAGATGCGTCTGATTGATTTGTTTTATGTATTCAGGAGTAATAAAGTTAGACTGTATTAACTTTCATAATAGACTCATTGAAAGTAATGAACATACAGAGTAGGGTTTTGAAAAACACCACCATACACTGTGGGTAACAGTTTGGGGGCGATGTGATGGAAGTATATATAATGATTAGGAGTATTATATGATGTTACGTAGCCTTGCATGGATATCTTGTAATTTGGAGCTCCTGAGTTGTGTTGGCATGTAGCATCGTTTGGTATTACAAAACTAAGGAAATATAATTCTATCGTTTACCCCTCTAATCACATTAATTATACAATACGTTTCCATGCATGTGATTACAGTTTAATTACAGGGACATAGTGATGTATCATTAAAGACAGCTATCGCTATACAGTGGAAACTGATTAACTTAGCCTATAGCTGAAAGATATGTTAACGCCGTTGGTTATCATATAATTATACTCGTACGGGAGATCACAGATTAAGTTCTGTTTTAGTTTAATATCAATACATTTACCTCGTGAAAACGCCCAGTAAATGACAGAGTTTTCAGTACGACTTGCCCATAGTTAAGGAAAACATCCTCGAACATGATATTTTTGTCATCTGGGGACTTTGTGTGAGTTTCCAACAGCAACTTTTCACCATTTTGTAAAGCTTGTAGCACAGCAGGTCCGAGGGCTTTCTGTTCTGAGAGGCAATCTTTGTTATGACACTGTCTATGTTGAGCTGCCCTCAAGCCTAGGGCTAACGTCCACACTGCCTTAATTGTGTTTAGAGATTTGTGGCTTGTAGATACCTTCTCGGAAGATGGAAGAGTGAAGGATTTCATCCCCCCAGGAAAGACGAAGCCTTTGTGTACAAACTCTTGTCCTGTAGTGACATTCGTTGAGTGCCATAGTTCTTTTATTAGAGGATGGGTAGGTACCGCGATACCTTCGATCATATTCCTAAACTCAAGTACTTCATCACTACAGGGCCAAAGAAACAAGACATTTGAAAGATCTGACAACTGCTTGGTTGACAGACTATCGTGAAGTCTAGAGGTCAGGTCACGGTTAGTTGAAATCAATACAGATATGCTGCTGTTTCTCCATTCAATCTGGTCAATCAGTTGAAGCACGTTATTGTCCGTTAGAAACAAAGCTACTGCTTTTACGTCCACCTAACTCCCAAGAAAAAAAAAGAGACATTAGTGATGTTTCATTTGAAAATATTAAAAAAGAAGGCACAGGAAATAGAACTAGCTACTAAGATACGACAAAAAATCATGCTATTGAGATAGATTTTAGTATATACAATATTGTGAAGTTTTTTGGAACTTTGAAATATTTATAACAGCCAAAGAATTATAACTAAAGGACCAAAATATACATCTTAAAGTTTTTCTGCACCAAGAGTGCTATAATTACTTGTCCCCTGGTGGGACAGCGGTAAGTCTGCGGATTTACAACGCTAAAATCAGGGGTTCGATTCCTCTCGGTAGACACAGCAGATAGTTTAATGTAGCTTTGCTATAAACACACAAGCTATAGTTACTTCTTCAGAATATTATACAGGGTGTTATTTTCTGATGAAACATTATTCATTAACTTTTCAGGAGAGGTTGTACGTTTTGTTTCAGAACCTCCGCGTAAAGTTGCATAAAGGACTGTCTGCGCATGGCCGTCGCGAATTTTCAACCATACACAAGTCAACAGCATACACAGATAACTCATTGTTTGGTCAAGTAGTAGAATTTATTTGTCACACTTATACCGCATCCACGACCCGAAACAGCAACGGATCACGAACTATGAACCCTTGGATTTGTATTCCGAGAATACTAAACAGTAGGCCACGCCAAGCTAAGTGCGCTTTGATCTCTTATAAAGAGGAGATAAGTTAAGATAGCAATGACTCTTAAAACTGGACAAATTTACATACTGAGGAAACACTGTTAAACATTTCTTATAACATTCAAGTTGAGCACAAAACAAACGATGCTGTTACAATCTCTGAAACTACACCTTCAGTCATACATGTTATACGTATAATTAATGAGGCACGGATAAAGAAATACATAACATAAACTGTTTTAACACCTTAACTTTACTTAGGAATGATAAAAACGTGAAAATTGATACACCTGCTTTATGTGAACATTCTTTGCAAATTTTCTGCAACATTAACGAACTATGGGCAATTAATTTTAATTAATGCCTTCGTTAGTGGTAATTAGACTCATAACAAGACAATTGGTAAAGATTTTTTGACTTTTAAAAAGAAATTCAAGATATAGAGTACTTGTTTGAAGTTAAGCACAAAGCTACACAATGGGCTATCTGTGCTCTGCCCACCACGGGTATCGAAATCCGGTTTCTAGCGTTGTAAGTCCGCAGACATGACACTGGGGGCTTCAAGATATGGAAGAGTGTAATATCAACAAGTGTGCTAAATTTCATGCTAATATTGGCTTTAATGCTGAAGTGAAAACGGAATGAAAACAAAGTAGTTGGAAAATGTGATTTTTGAAATATTGGGGGCGCTCTTTGAGGGCAAGTGATACCTCAAGTCGTTTAACTCTCATTTGTACTCTAGAATTTGATGAAGAAAATTATCTTCGTGTAACTTTCATTTTTCTGTGGTCTGTTTAACCCCAGGTGGCTCAGTGGCAAGTCTGCAGGCTAAAATTCGTGTTTCGATACCAATGGTGGGCAGAGCACAGATAGCCCATTATGCAGCTTTGTGTATAAAAACAACCATACTTAACAGTGTTTGCTTTATTATAAATTTTTTGTAACTGGTTCACCGTGAATAACCATTACAATATTTTGTAAAAGTCTCATAGCTGAGATCGGATGATTCTCAACATATCATGTCTGTTGTCTGTTAACACAAACCTAAGTATAAAAACTTATATCGATCAATAAACAATATCATTCCTATAAATCCTCTGATATCACGTCTTTTATACAGATTTACTTTTATCACTTTCTTTGAGTAATAAGACAAAAATACAACTATTAATTCATCAATATAAAATATCCTACAACTACCCAATATAAAAAATATTTTGTCAGTAAAAATGTATCCTTATAATCAAAGTTTTACAACTCATCAAAAAGTTTCATTACAGACTTCTTTCGCAATAAACACCTAATCTATCAAATGTAGGTTTCACATGAACGCTGCTTTCTACAGAATATACATTACGTTAATTCTTAGAATGTGAAAAATAAGATCTTAAGATTTTCTAAGCTTTTTATTTATTTTGTTTTGCATGCATGTTCGTTACCAATAGATCAGCTAAAGTTTCTAAAATATTGAGTTATATCTTGTGTCTTCTTTGAACTTACGCCAGGCTTTACTCACACTTCTGAAAATGGTTTATTTTACATCAGAGAATTACCCTTATAATTCTAGCATTATTGAACCATTTCGATAGCTTTAGAGAACGTGATGTACGAAACTCAGTTTTAAACAAATCCAACGAACAAACTTCCTTATAGATGATTATTAACACTTTAGCTTAACAAGCGGAAGTAGCCACTTCCTTATTTTGTAACTATCAACAATGGAAGTAGCCAATTACTTATTTTGTGACTATTAACAATGAAAGTAGCCAGTTCCTTATTTTGTAACTATCAACAATGGAAGAAGCCACTTATTTTGTAACTATCAACAATGGAAGTAGCCATTTACTTATATTGTAATTATCAACAGTGGAAGGAGCCACTTACTTATTTTGTAACTAGCAACAATGAAAGTAGCCACTTCCTTATTTTGTGACTATTGACAATGAAAGTAGCCAGTTCCTTATTTTGTAACTACCAACAATGGAAGTAGCCACTTTTTTTGTAACTATCAGTAATTGAAGTAGCCACTTAATTATTTTGTAACTATCAAAAATGGAAGGAGCCACTTACTTATTTTGCAACTATCAACAATGGAAGTAGCCACTTCCGTATTTTTTAACTATCAACAATGGAAGTAGTTACTTACTTATTTTTTTAACTATCAACAATGGAAGTAGCTAATTACTTATTTTGTAACTATCAACAATGAAAGTAGCCGGTTCCTTATTTTGTGATTATTAACAATGGAAGTAGCCAGTTACTTATTTTGGAACTATCAACAATGAAAGGAGCCACTTACTTATTTTGTAATTATCAACAATGAAAGGAGTCGATTCCTTATTTTGTAACTATCAACAATGGAAGTAGCCAATTCCTTATTTTGTAACTATCAACAATGAAAGGAGTCGATTCCTTATTTTGTAACTATCAACGATGAAAGGAGTCGGTTCCTTATGTTGTAACTATCAACAATGGAAGTAGCCAATTCCTTATTTTGTAATTATCAACAATGAAAGGAGTCGATTCCTTATTTTGTAACTATCAACAATGGAAGTAGCCAATTCCTTATTTTGTAATTATCAACAATGAAAGGAGTCGATTCCTTATTTTGTAACTATCAACAATGAAAGGAGTCGGTTCCTTATGTTGTAACTATCAACAATGGAAGTAGCCAATTTCTTATTTTGTAATTATCAACAATGGAAGTAGCCAGTTACTTATTTTGGAACTATCAACAATGAAAGGAGCCACTTACTTATTTTGTAATTATCAACAAAGAAAGGAGTCGGTTCCTTATTTTGTAATTATCAACAATGAAAGTAGCTACTTTCTTATTGATAATTACAATTACCTTTTGTTAAGTCATACAAATATTTCTTTTCCTATTGGTAATTAAGAAAGCAAAATGAAAAAGAAACGTGTATAATGACAGTATAAGAGAAACAAACTTCTTCAATTCTAGAAAGGTTTTCCGGACTACAAACGGTCTTCATTCCAGCAATTTTTAAATGTACAGCGGTGATGCCAGCGTTCTCTAGTGTCTGTTATGCAGCATTGAAATCAGACACTCGTGTAGCAGCAAGGCCTATCTTTTTAAAACCAGAAATTTACACTACGTCTGCAACGACCTGGAATTAAAAAAGAGAGAAAGAGAAAAAAAGCTTAAACACGTAATCACGACCTGGAGTTAAGAGACTATAGAATGTAAGCCATAACCCAATTTCGAATTAAGCTCAGTAATATCTTGAGTCGTATAAGAATTAACATCGTCTGCTGTAAAGGTCAAATTATTACTATTGTGAGAGACAAATTAGATGGTAAAAAAATTAAATAAAAGTAGACGGCGTAGAAAATAATGTCTAATAAAACTCCACAATCTATCTATTATAACCCTGTACATCCTGCTAATTTTGGTGGAGTACAGCCTTTATTTAGATCTGTAAAAGCGCTTGGTAAACTGGTAAGTCTAAATCAGGTTAAAGATTAGTTAAATTGACAATACATACACTCTACACAAACCAGTAAAATATAAGTTTTCAAGAAACCGAGTTATCGTTTCAGGGATCGATGGTCAATGGCAGGCTGATTTGGTGGATCTCTCTAACCTTAGTCAATATAACAATCTGTTTAAGTATTTGGTCACGTGTACTGACGAGTTTCTTAAATATTCAAGGGTTGTTCCGCTCAAGGATAAGAAAGGTACACACTTGTAAAATCATTCCAACATATTTTGAAACCGGGTGAAAAACCTTGTAAACTTCAATTCGATTGCCGGGCAGAGTTTAATAATCATCTCTTTCAACGATATCTCAAGGAACAATACATTCAATTCTTTATTAAACATAACGAAACAAAAGCATTTTTTGTAGAAAGATTTAATCACACTCTTAAAACTAGAATGTGGCGCTACTTTACACATCCTGGAACTTATAAACATATCACTGTATTGAAACATCTGGTCAGAGACTATAATCAATTTTATAATTATAGAATAAAAATGAGACCAATAGAGGTTAATCACTCTATCCAGTCTGTGGTGTAGAAAACACTTTACAAACCACCCATTAATGTAAAATTTCAGGTGATCAAGTACGTATTAGTAAAGTGAAGCATCAATGAAAGGTTATATGGCTGGATGGACAGACGAAATATTTATCATTTACCAAAGAATAGAGAGAAATCCACCAGTTTATAAACTGCAAGACTATCTTGGAGAAAATTAAATGGAAAATTTTACGAATCTGAACTACAATATTTTGTAAAATCGAAGGATATCCTGATAAAGTTAATATATTAATCTCTCAAACAGATCTGAATCGCTGTCATCGTAAAATATCATGCATCTCT